TTATTACATTTTTAATAGTCTAATGCCACTTTTTAATGACTAGTGAGATAAATACATATGCTTATATTTTACTTAAATCAGGTTGTTTCCAAAAAACGAAGGCCATATTTCACTCTTCCTAAAACAATTCAGATATCAGCTCACAAGAATATTTTTTAATTGTGAATAATTTCTATTTTTATTACATTTAAGATTCGTTTAAGTATGTTTTGCCTTCATGTATGTCTGTGCACTATATGCCAGCAGTGCCCTTGGAGACCAGAATAGGGTGTTTGATCCCCTGGGACTAGAGTTACAGTCTGTTGTGAGTGAGTTGCTATGTGGGTTCTGGGGATTGAACCTGAGTCCTTTGGAAGAGCAGTCAGTGTTCTTAATGACTAAGATACCTCTCCATCATACATGAAAAAAGTTTAAAAAATTCTTCCACCCTATCTTTCTTTCTCTTCTCTCTTTACTTCTTGTATGCATGTGGTTGTTACTGTTTTAACTGTTAGCTAATGGTTCTGTAACAGATTTGTTTGGTATTCAACACTTGATCTATTAGGTATTTTTCAGACTTGAGAGTGTTCTCTTCATCAATTCCTTTGCTAATTCTAGGCAATGACCAAAATTAACTAGCTTTAAAGAATCTTGGTGATTGTCTATGTTGGACCTTCTGGCTTCTCTCTAATTGTCAGTATCATTTCTTCTTCTTCTTCTTCTTCTTCTTCTTCTTCTTCTTCTTCTCCTCCTCCTCCTCCTCCTCCTCCTCCTCCTCCTCCTCTCCTCCTCCTCCTTTTCTCTTCTCCTCCATCTCACTCTCTTATAAATGCCCTGCAGTCCCAATATTTAGCAGCAATAATTGAGTAATATCTCTTTTAGTGACTTTCCTTTGGGTCATTAGAAGAAATATGATTTCTGTAGAAAAATAATCTTCTATATAAATGTTAGTGTAGGGCTATTTTCCTGGAGGCTACAAAATGACCTTCGGAAGAATAATAAATTGACTTTGTAGGGGCATCAGATATTTCCTTCATTCCCCTTTGGAAGATGTGCTTTGAAACCCTCTGTCCTGCTTCAGAGCATGTAAATAGCATTATGCACAAAAAATTTTCAAGCTGTCAAGAGTAAAGTATGATAATTTAGTATAATTAAATGCCTAAGACAATCAAAATAGAACTGATCCTGGTAAGTTGTTCTCACTTGCAGGAAACTTCTTTAAAAGTAGTTATCCATGTTGCAATAATGCTGTTGAAAATCTGCAATGTAAGCCAGTCATGGTCACACATATTTGCAAATCAAGACCTTAGGAGGCAGAGGCAGGAGGAAAAGGCCAATTTGGTTTACAAGATTTCCAGCAGCTAGGGTTTCACAGTAAGTATTTGTCTCTAAAAGTCAAAACAAAAGTTATAGTATAGCAGTGCAAAATATGCAATATTTTCCAATTCTAAGGAAGAAAGTAAGATGGGCAGATGGCCGAGCTGGTAAAAGTGGTCGCCTTTTAAGGAGCACATATTCATTTGCACGTGATAATGGAGGGCTTGTAATTCCAGCACCAGAGGTCCAGAGCAGTGGTTTGCTGGAGTTTATTGACCTGCAAGGCCAGAGTACTTGGTCACCTCCATGTTCCATGCCAGGGAGAGACTGTGTGATGAATAACACTTAAGGGTGTCTTCTAGCCTCCACATGTAAACTCATACCCATGTGTCTATCTATCTGCACACACACACACACACACACACACACACACACACGCACGCACGTGTGTGCGCACCCTTACAAAAATAGGTGCATGCGTACACATACACACAAGCATATATGTGTGTGTGTGTGTGTGTGTGTGTATACATATGGACATAAATACATCTTTAAATGAAGAAAGATTGTAAATAACACATATATACACATGCTCCTATTCATAGAAGAAATAGAATAAAAATACGTGCAAAGGTGGGTGCTGGAGAGAGAGCTCAGTAAAGTACTTGCAGTGTTTGATGGCTACTATTGCCAACTTAATAGGATCTAGACTCCCCTAAGAGGCAAGCCTTTGAGCACATCTGTGAAGCATTATCTAGATTTGATTATGTGGAATGGGCAAACCCACCTTACCTGTGGATGGCGGAATTCCATGTGCTGGGGACCTGAAGGAATTAAAGGAGAAAGTGAACTGGGTAAAGCACTTGTGACTCTCTGCTTCCTGGTAGTGAACACAGCTGCCACGACTCACCCAACACATGTAACTGTACCCTTGCACAGTTCGCTGAAATAAACACTCTCCTTTAAACCGTGTCTGTTAGAAGGTTTTTATTGCAGCAACAGGGAAAGTAACTGAGATGAGAAACTGAAGCTGAGTGTGAGGTCACTGCTGTGATAAACTGGCTCCCATGGTCCTTAGGTCTTTGGAAGTAGTTTGCAAGAAGAACGTGCTAGAGTTTGAACTTTGGACTAGACAAGCCCTCAAATACTAAAACATAGCTCAGAGGCGCTATCTGGTAGGAACTTTGAGGACAAGCATGCTCAGAGAAAACAGACTGTAGAGGCCCAGTTCACACGGCTTCAGAAGAGAACAGGGGCTGTCAAGCACTGGGCTGGAGGCCAAAGAATCTGCTGAAATTCTGCAGGTGTCCTAAGAACTTGTGAGGTGGTGAATTAAAAATTCATGAGCTAATTTCTTTGACAGAAAGAATTTCAGGACAGCATATCCTCTGGCTGTGGTGTGGCTGTCGCTCAGTTCTTTTATTCAGATTCTCCAGTGAGAGGGTGAGCCAAAACATTGAACCTCAAATGAAACTAGGGCTTGAGAATTAAACAGTTCTGGGGTCCTTACAGACCTTTGAAGTTGGAGCAAATCCATTTTGCATTATGGGATATCCATGAGTCTGTGTAGTTGTGCTGAAGAAGGTTTTGTCTTAAAAGTAACGTGCTTGGGAGTCAAGTTGACAAAGGATAGATATGTGACAGTTATTATTATCAACTTGGCAGGACGTAGAATCACCAAGGAGACGACTTTGTACAGCCTGTGAGGGGTTATCTAGATTCAGTCAGCTAAACTGGGAAGACCCAACTGGACTGTGGGCAACACCACAGGATTCGTTGTTTAACTGAAATCAAAGTTAACTCTGTGTCTTGTACTTTCATTAGTTCAGTGTGGCAACCCTACATTATGGAGACCTTTTCTCACTCTGTGCTACTATCCCTAACATAGTTATAGAAAATCATAATAGGCAACTGGGAGGATAATGATTATGGAGAGAATAATAAGAATAGCTGATTTTGCTATGTGTATCTCAATTCTCATGGGAATCTTTTGAATTTTGCTCAGGGTTCCCTTTCACAGATTTAAGTAGCAGAACTATAAAGAGATCATATATAGCCTGTAAGTGTAGGAGTTAGAAAAGACTTTGTTTCTGGTCCTAGCTCATTGCTAACAGCTGGGGAAACAATTGAAAGACACCCAGGTGCTTACTTGGCTATCTTCAGGCGTGCCTGACATGCCTGACCTGTCATCTAGGAAGTTCACATGGGAGAACCATGTAATTAGGTTACAAAACAAAACTCTGTTTTGAGTAAGTTTGTAAAATTGTGTGTGTGTGTGTGTGATGCATTTATAGCAGGCTGACTATATCCTGAAAGACTGGGGACTTGGCATAAGTCTCTTCATCTGGCCTAGAGGTGGAATGCGAAGGCAGGAGAATCAGGCAGATCTGAGCCTGAGTCCATCTCCACCTTCCATTTGACAGCGTCCCGTACTTTACTCTCATGCCAGCTTTCTCATCCGTAAAACTGGGGTGAGGAGATTTATCTTGGAAGCGATGTGCCGAGTAAAGGGGGCAGTTGTTACCAAGTGCCATGACCAGGCAAGCAGAGGACAGTCGGGGCTAAGCCAGATCAGCTCAGAGTCATTGTTTTTGCTTGTTTTTAAATTTGGAAAACTGACCGAGAGGACACAGGACAGGACAAGAGTTCTAATGCTACTGTATCCTGCCGCAGAGATGGTTTGAGGATCAGATGAGAGTATTTAGAATTTTCCTAAATTCTCAAGAGCCAGAGCACCAGAGCGCTTGCTCTTTTGACAGACTCAGATTTCAGATTGTGCCAGAGGACCAGAAAAATTCTACCCATGCCATTTACTTTACTACAAAAGCTAGGCAGTAAAATTGTCTTTTTTGGTGTACAGTCTTCTGAGTTTTAGCATATGTATGGATTTATATAACCATCTCCATGACTGCCATATACAACAGGACTTCAGCTTCTGAGTCCGTTTTTTCCCCCAAAAGCTTTTCACATTTATATTGCAAAAACACTTTTAAAAATAAGAGAAAGGGATTTAGATAAAAATGTGCTGAAGATGCAAATTAATGAAACTGTCTTTTTGCACAAATCTCTGCAGTCTCCAGGCTCTGCAGTTTTTCCCTCCCTGGGCCATTTTGGCTGGTGTTTGTCTAAACTGTCTTTCCACAGAAGGAATCAGGCACAGATTCAGAACTGGACCACTACAGCAGTGCTGCATGTTGGGGGGACAATCCCTTGCATCGTTAATTTGATCTCTTTTATTTTACTGGTCTTCATTTTCCTCAGCCATGTTTCTCCTGTCATTTTCTCTCTAAAATGAACATGACTGCAATAACCCACACTTTTTACATCGGGGAAAATTATTTGCCTGGGGAAAAGGAGATAAAGAGTTTTTAAGAGAGCAATGGCAGGGCTTTCGAAACTCCAAATCTCCCCCATTTAATGATATTGGTCCTATAAGCATTCCAGTTTTTTCCCTAATCCATCATCCGGCGCCTGCCAGGGCCTCTTGGGAGACACACTTTGGGACAAACTTCTTTCCTAGGTCAGCCCGCCCACCTCCCGCCGCGAGCGCTCCCTGCGTAAGTGACTTGTGCTGACACAACGCTCCGAATCTGGTGGAGGGAGCTTTCCGGGTGACTCACATCTTTGCTATTTGCCTTTGTTTCTGGGGTGTTTTAGCTGCCGTTTTCTTCCCTCTGGTTTTAATTTTGAGAGGAGAGGGAAAAAAAAAAGAACCTCATAATGAATCAAGAATGAGTGTCCTTTCCACTAACCCTCCCCCACTTTAAAGTTGACTCTTCCCAAGTTTCATAACTACCCAAGGCGTGCGGGGGTGGCACAGGTAGGAAGGCATTAACTAACTACCCCTGAATCTGAAGTTGCCAGCCTAACCGAGCCACGCGAGAGGAGACTTTCTGAATCTCCCTCACAACCCGGGCATTTGCTGTGGCGGATGTAACGTGTGCAGCTCGTTCCTTTGGGTTGATGTGGGTCACGCTAAAATCCATCTCAGCACTGCCGGCGATGCCCGAAGCAGCGTGAATTCCAAGAGATCTACCAGCGGTTTTGTTTCTATCCGAGGTAAATACGCTATGCAAAATAAGGAACCACCAAAGGATGCCAGGGAGGGGGAACAGAAGGGAAACCCCTCACCTTTACCGGGCGCGTGGTTCGTTTATCCCCGCCAGCAGAAGGCGCGCAGCCCTGGTCTCCCTCGTCCCCCTCCTTAAAGCCCCCCCACTGGCAGCCGAGGTGGGCTGCACGGATGCAATCTGTCCCGCAGCCCCGGCCCTCCCCCGCCCCCCGGCTTGGTTTTTCCCAGCAGTGGAGGTTGGGCTAGGGGCTGGGGTGCGAGGAGAGTCGGCGCCCGCAGCGGGAGCCGGGTAGGCGCGGGGACTCGGAGTTGGCTTTGGAGGCGCCCGGCGCGGAGGTAAGCGGCGGGGACCCAGCGGCCAGAACAGGACCTGGAGGCGGGGTCGGGATTCCTTTCCACACTGGGGCGTGAAGGGAGTGGGGGTCTGGCTGCTAACCCGCCCATGATATACAGCCGCTTTGTTGGAGATTCCCTTCTCCTTTCTGGAGACGCCTGAACCCCCTTCGGGATCGGGGGGGAGGGGGGGCTGGAGGGCCACGAACTGGGAGTCGGGAGTGGGCGACAGCTGTATGGCTCCGCACCCCTTTCTCCACTAATTCAAGAAGGCACAAAAAGATGGAAAGAGTCGCTTAACCCGAAACTTCGCTCTCATCCCAACCTGGGCGGGGAGGCGCGGCGGGGGCGGGGACCCCGGAAGGCAGGTGGTCGGCGGGGGCGGTGGGAGCCGGGAGCTGGGGAAGGGAGAAGTTTGCTTGCAGGACGCAGCGGGCTCTGCGAGAAGTTCTAGGCGAGAGGAGTGCAATCCCCACCGCAGGAGCCAGGCGGGAGGTGGCTCTGGTACAGATGTGGGCCCGGAAGAGGCAGGCTTAGCGCTCGGGAGTGGGGACCGCGTCCTCCGTGGGGAAGGACGCACGCGAAGGCTAGGGCTGAGTAGGAAGGGTGGGGAGAACTTGGCTTGTACTCGGGGCGCGGCGGCTATCGCCGCTCCTCACACTTCTCTCCCGCTTGTCCCAGGTCGCTCATCGGATCCTGCCCTGCGAAAGGCGCCAACAAAAGAGTCGAGGAGGTGCCACCCCAGCAGCGGCGGGAGGAGGAGCGCTGAGGCCCGTGTCGCTACCGGTCGTGCGTACTCGCTGGAGGGAAGGGCGGGGAACCGCTCCGGGAGGGGGACGCCCGGTGGCCCGGGGTAAACCAAGTTCCGGCTTTGGTGCCCCTCCCCAATTGACTCCCACGCGTGGAAAGTTTGTAGCCGACACTTGGGGCCGGCTCGCGCCCGCCGGGCCCAGCCGGTCGAGCCTTCGGAGCGGGCGCTGTCCCAGCTCCGGGGAGCTGCGAGCCGCGATGCCTGGGGCGGGCTCCCGGGGCCCCACCGCCGGAGACGGGCGGCTGCGCCTGGCACGACTGGCACTGGTGCTGCTGGGTTGGGTTTCCGCGTCGGCGCCCAGCTCTTCGGTACCCTCGTCTTCCACCTCCCCGGCGGCGTTCCTGGCCTCGGGGTCTGTGCAGCCTCCGCCAGCCGAGCGATGCCCGGCGGCGTGCGAGTGCTCCGAGGCGGCGCGCACGGTTAAGTGCGTTAACCGCAACCTGATGGAGGTGCCCGCGGACCTGCCTTCCTACGTTCGCAACCTCTTCATCACCGGCAACCAGATGACCGTGCTCCCGGCTGGCGCTTTCGCCCGGCGGCCACCGCTCGCCGACCTGGCGACGCTCAACCTCAGCGGCAACCACCTGAAGGAGGTGTGTGCAGGTGCCTTCGAGCATCTGCCCGGCCTGCGCCACCTCGACCTCAGCCACAACCCTCTCACCAACCTCAGCGCCTTCGCCTTTGCGGGCAGCAACGCCAGCGTCTCGGCCCCTAGCTCCCTGGAGGAGCTGTTCCTGAATCACATTGTGCCCCCTGAGGATCAGCGGCAGAACGGAAGCTTTGAGGGCATGGTGGCCTTTGAGGGCATGGTGGCAGCTGCCCTACGCTCAGGCTTTGCTCTCCAAGGGCTGCAGCGCCTTGAGCTGGCCAGTAATCACTTCCTTTACCTGCCTCGGGATTTACTGGCCCAACTGCCGAGTCTCAGCCACCTGGACCTTCGGAACAACTCCTTGGTGAGCCTGACGTATGCATCCTTCCGCAACCTGACACACCTCGAAAGCCTCCACTTGGAGGACAATGCTCTCAAGGTCCTTCACAACTCTACTTTGGCTGAGTGGCAAGGCCTCCCTCGTGTCAAGGTGTACCTGGACAACAATCCCTGGGTTTGCGACTGCTACATTGCTGACCTGGTGACCTGGCTTAAAGAGACAGAGGTGGTGCCCGATAAAGCCAAGCTCACCTGTGCATTCCCAGAAAAAATGAGGAACCGTGGCCTCTTGGAGCTCAACAGCTCTGACCTGGACTGTGACGCTCTCCTTCCCCCATCCCTGCAGACTTCCTATGTCTTCCTAGGTATTGTTTTAGCTCTGATAGGCGCTATTTTCCTCCTCGTTTTGTATTTGAACCGTAAAGGCATAAAAAAGTGGATGCATAACATCAGAGATGCGTGCAGGGATCACATGGAAGGGTATCATTACAGATACGAGATCAATGCGGACCCCAGGTTGACAAATCTCAGTTCCAACTCGGATGTCTGAGAAACAGGACTGGTCTGCATGCGGTGTAGACTTCAGAAACAGGACAACTGTGCATGAGCTGTAGACTTCAGTTGGTTTTTGTTTGTTTGTTTTGTTTTTTGTTTTTTCCCTTTACTAGGCTTGCTCCACCTCCACCCTCCATCATCCACACCAGTGACTTTGACTGAAAGCAGTGAAGGGATTTTGCTTCCTTGTTATGTAAAATATTGGTGTGTTCTGTTAATGTAAGAACATAAACAGTCGTGCATACAATGTTTATTTACCCCTTTCCTTTCGGTAATCCTCGATGCCTGCGGAGGGAGTTTTTTGTTTTTTTTTTTTTTCTTTTTTTTTCAAAAGTTCCAGCATGGACATTGACTCTTTCTTAATTCAGTTCAAGGTGTAGCACAGAGAGCATTCAACGGAAGCTGCCTCAGATTTTTTGAGAAAAATACTTTATTCATAAATATGAGTTTCATCCTCACCTACGTAAATTATGGAGAAAATAATTGCATCCCCAAACTGCCTGCAGACCTTAGCAAGCTCTTTTATAGAACCTAGTGCACAGGAGCACCTGCATCCAAGAGCATGCTTACATTTTACTATTCTGCATATTAAAGAAAATTGCAACTTCAGATAACCTCTTTGACAAACTAAATTACTTTTTGATTGCAGTTTATAGGAAACCGTCCTAAGGGTTTGTCTTTCTTTCTTTCTTTTTTTTTTTTTTATATAAACTGCATTGAGATCCAACAGACTGGATTGTTTAAAAAACAAAACAAAACATCAATAAAAAGTCTTAAAAGAAACATGATGTGTTCAAGTTTGGTATTTTGAAATGAGGATGAAAGGCAGTGAATGATATTGAGTCGTTTTGGTTCAAATCATGAGTTATTAGTTAGCGGACATGAGATCAAACTAGAGCCGTGTCTTATATAAACAGACAAGATAGTTCTGAAATGGCCAGATTCTTTTAGGGCTTAAATAGAATTAAAATATTTACAGGGCCAGACTGTTAGAGGTTCCCAAGTTAATGGTGTTCAGCATTGTGAAGCTGGTTACAGTGATGAGTTCTTCATGAGAAGTATCTCACAGCTGCTTCCTGGTCTAGACAGATGAAGTTGTTAAGACAGAAATATTAGCAAAACTGAATGAAGTTGCTCCATGGAATTTCAGAGCCAAGGATGAGTCATGTGGTGGCCATAAATGTGTGAAAATAAAATATCTTAAAATAATCTGGAATAAAATATTTTTAAAATACAAACAGTCTTTTCAGAGGTCATAAATTGGAATTCAGAGTCTTGAGAATATTTTCTAAATATTCAAAATGGATCAAAGAATGCATTTTTATAATTACCAGGATTACATTTAAACTTAAAGAAACACCCAGGGATAAATATTAGTATTTAGGAATAAGTGTTATAAGTAATTATTGGGTTTTATGTTCAGTATTTAGGAATTTGGGGGCTTTTTAAAAAAAGCTAAGCTCTGAGCACTAGGTAAGTGTATTTATCTCCATAAGTAATAAATCATATTTAGGTATAAATTGAAGCAATTCTTCATCGATACTCTTCTAGCTCATCTCTAATCCCTGCCCCCTGTCATCATTGGCCACTACAGTGAACAGTAAATTTCATTTCTCTGTCTCCAAGCCATTATATAAAGGAACTTAAATCTAGCCATTATTCCCTAACTTTAAATAGGAGGACACTTGCATCAACAAACTTCAGAACCTGCCTGGCTTTTAAGTGATTCATGTCTGTAGTATCTTACATTTGAAATAAAACTTATACTTTGCTATTTTTATAAATAAATAGATCATACCTTAAATTATAAAGCTCTTTTGCAGATTACTTCTTGCAGTTGGGTTCAGTTTTCAAAACTATGTGAATCTATTTGATGTTTAGAACTGGTTATATGGTCTAGTCAGAAATGGGGCCTTAAGATCTTCAGTTCTGTGTGACTTATTTTGTGAAATAGTATTTACTATGTATGGGTAATATTTCTGCTCCTATAATTACCTGAGTAAGGCTACTTAGTGTTTCATTGAACATATTAAGGGTGTATGTGATGTTCATAAACATCACTGACTGCCATTACTTTCAAAGAATAATGAAGATGTTAGTGTGCCAAAAACAGTAAAAAAAATACCCAATAAATAAAAGAAATGAGCTATTGATAGCAGGTTGGTGGATGTGTAGATATTATGTGGTTTTGATGAAGCTTGTTTTACAGGGATTATTTCTTTGCCCCCTGATAATTGAAGAGTTAAAAATTGTGCATTATTGAAGATTCAGGAACTCTGTAGATTCATCGGTTTTTATTCTTGTACTTTTTTTTTTCTGTCTACTCCCAAAGCAGTGATGAATCCATCAAATGAAGATGATTTGCCTGTTCGGAGGTGGCTGTTTTGAGGCTGTCATTCTTCCTTCCGCCCCCACCCATCCTCTCCCGCATGAACTTGCAGATGCACCTAGAGCCTTATTTTGTACGGTTATAATACATGCGGTCCAGGAGCGCACCAGCATTCCAAGTTCCTTGGAGGACAAGTGCAATATAAACACATCCAGTGTATGGGGGTGATAGGGAATGTGACAGATGCAAGTTGTGACTTTATTTAAAATAATTACACTTGTTGTATCAACACTGCTCTTTCCCATTATACATGGCTCTTAGAAAGCTACAAAAATTCTGTTTTGTTATTATACTTTATTTCAGAAGGTAAGTATTCAGCAGACATCCTTTATCCTTAGCAAATTGCATTTGAAGAAAATTAGAAAAATACATCTTTTAATCTCCTAATTTGAAAAGCTATTCAGATATCGAATACATGCCTAATCAGTGAAGCAAAGACATTAGGCTGTTTGACCCTACGTAAGAGCTCTTTGGTGGCTTTCGCTCTGCAGCCTTAATTCTTGCCAGTCAGCTGTCCTGAGTGCACGTCGTTGGTCATCTATAAGGTTTCTCTTACAAAGCAGGGAGGCTTTGAAACACATTTGATGGGTTGATTTTGTTTCTTTGTTTTAAGAACAGTTCCTCCCTAAAAGATGAACAGGAAGGCTGAGTTGCAACACATGGGTGACCCAATTAGTAAGTTCTCATGAAACATCATGATTGACAATGAATGCAAATTAATGCTCATTGCAGTATTTAATTAAAAATCAGTGACGCCTTACCGTAACATCTTTTAGAAGTAGCTTTGGTATAAGGCAACCGGTCGATGGCTTTTTCCCGTAGTTATGGTTTCATTCTTCTCCCTTTGGCCTGGGGCTCCACTAATGCGAACCTTACTTTGTTGAAGATATTAGGAGCTTTGCTACTCAAGTTTGCTGGAGTTCATCCTTTATCTCATTCCCAGTTTCCATATTGATCTTTCTCCAAAGACTTCGAGACTTCGATAACGGAGACCGTGAGGATCTGCAAGGCTAAGAGTTAGGCACGTTTTTTTCTTCTTGCTCCGAAATCCCCTACCTGTCCAACCTTTGGAGCTGCATCAGGATGACAGACTTTCATTAGATCAGGTAGGCGAGAAAGGGAGGAAATTCTATTTGTGGGTGACATACAAAAACTCATTAATAGTTTCTTCTTAGAAGGTGTCAGCAGCACGGCAGAGGTGTGGTAGAAATGGGTAGCTTAAGAAGCCCTGTGCTGCCCTGCGCCACTGTCTCCTTCCAGATGGGGACAACAGCTCCTTGAGAGTTTCATACAGTTACCTATCCATTCTTCTTGGAGACTGGATTCAGAAAGGCAGACTTTTCAATTGTGTGTTTTATCTGAGAGCATTTTAGCAACCCAGTTATTGCCAGGGGTTAAAAAAAAATCAAAAACCCTAGACTTAAAATTGTTTAAAATAGGTTTATATATTTACAGATGCATGAATTCTTAGTGTTTCATACTTGGAGGGGCTCTTAGACATGCTAGGCAAGTGTTCCATTCTACAAATGAAAAACGAAGACCGTGACTTATCCACAGCATAATGCCAGCCACTCCAGGTGCCAGGATCCTAAGCTACCCATCTTCCTCTCTGATTGACAGGTGGCAGTATTACTATTGCCTACCCTTGGAAATTCCTGTTGTCTGATTTTTAAAAACAATTTCCTTGGTGCACTTGTGCTTTGTTTTGAGTGAGTGGTTCAATCTTCAGATTTTCCTTCAAAATTAGTAACAGGTACCATGCTTCAGGTTCCTTGACATACGCTAATGGGTATGAATGGATATTTTTCTGATTGTTGTTCCTGTGAAACATCTCTGTATCTGTAGCATGATAGGAAATAGTTTCGTAGTTCTGTTATTTGTAAATTGTACAGAAGAATGGATTTTATCACAGTATTTTCATATATGCCTATTCACTCTCATAAGAAATATTTTGGGAAACTTCATGGTGATACTTGGATTGAAGGGACAGAAATTCTGCAATGCTGAGTAACGTGTATAAGTCTGTTTTGAAGAGGAATTAGTGTAGCTGGTGAGAAATGAAACAAATTAGGCCGAGTTCATGGCCACGAGGTTGGTGGCCAGGCGAAAGGGTCAGTTTTGCATGATATGGTCTGCTCGCTGGTTGGGCCTGTGCCAGGTGTGTGTCGCCATCCTTCCGGGGTCTGGACACAAACAGGGCAGCTCTAGCAACACGGAGCACTCTCGCTGTAGTAAGGGCCGTGTGTGGATAGCCTGGCCAGGCCTGCTGCGGCACGGGGTTGCTGTCTGTGCCGTGTGTGGATAGCCTGGCCAGGCCTGCTGCGGCACGGGGTTGCTGTCTGTGCCGTGTGTGGATAGCCTGGTCAGTCCTGCTGCGGCACGGGGTTGCTGTCTGTGCCGTGTGTGGATAGCCTGGCCAGTCCTGCCGCGGCACAGGGTTGCTGTCTGTGCCTTGTGTGGATAGCCTGGTCAGTCCTGCTGCGGCACGGGGTTGCTGTCTGTGCCGTGTGTTTATAGCCTGGCCAGGCCTGCTGCGGCACGGGGTTGCTGTCTGTGCTGTGTGTTGCTAGCCTGGCCAGTCCTGCTGCGGCACGGGGTTGCTGTCTGTGCATGCAGCCCCACGGACAAGAACCCCAGCCGTCTCTCACTGCGGCACACATGCCGCCGACTGCAGAAGGTTTGACACTTATGTGGATTGTGAGGAGACTGAGATGGGCACCTTTGAATGCATCATGTAGGAAACTAGGTTTGCTTAATTATCCTAAATAAAAATGTGCCTTAAGTTATGGCTGCTATATTACAAACTAACACGTAAACTTTTATTAAATATGCTCTCCTCACTGTTTAGCCAACATTTTATGATAATAAGGCCTATTTATGATTCTGTTTAATTTGATTAATGAGAGAAAATACTTGTTATCAAGGAAGCAAAAACTTAAAATACAACCAAAAATAAGACTTTTTCTGTGGAAAGTACCTATTTAATAATATGTTTTAATTTAAGGATATAGTTTTGATTTAATTTTTTTTATTGAGAACTTGTAGGCTTTTCCCACATAGTACTCCAAAGACAGCTGTGATATATGATATTTAAGGGCCACTGTTTGTACACAGGGGAAGTGGACTAGTGACTTTAGGCTGGTCAGTTTACAACCATGTCCTTCATGGACAGTCTCCAGTGGTAGAATGTGATGGCAGTGAGCTTCAGCGAAGACAGCTTTCCAATCAGACACCTGTGCTCATTCATATAGATCACAAATGTGGGTATACATATTAAAATACATATTTAAGCTAATTTATACTTTTCAAAATATTTAAATATAAACATAATTTATAAGTATTTAAAACTCCAGGGGTCAGGAATACACAGTGTATGATACTGTCATCAAGGGGGGAAAGTCTTAATGTTGAGATAAACTGGTTTCTCTTCCTGTCACTTGTATCTTGTATATGTAATTTGCATGTGATTTACTTGCAATCATTGCCACTATCCCTAAAATTACTTTGGTAGCTGCTTTTATTTATTTATTTATTTATTTTTTTTTTTTTGGTTTTTCGAGACAGGGAAGAGGGCATGTCTTGTGGCTTAGGTGATCCTGTAGTGAGCATTGTGCCTGCTTATGTTTCTGCTTTTGCCATTTTCTCTCTTAGTACAGATGCTTGAAGGAGAATGACTGCCTTTACCTAAACTTGAAAGTAATGTTGAAGCCTACTTAAAAGTACAGAGTTCCCCTTTTATCCTAAGAATTTTATATCAAATTTTACAGAGCAATAAAACATTTGTGGACAGGATTTTGAATAAGAAGAAAACCAGCTAGTTGCAGTTTTAAACCTGTGAATGCCGATTTTCTTCATGAAAGCAATACATTTAGAAGTTTAGTTGGCTTAGAATAAGACAGAGAAGTGGAAGGAAGGCAGGAAGGAGGCAGGTACGAAGGAACATGTGCGAAGTTAATTGACCTTTTCCACGATAGGAAGTAGTTTTCCAGGCAAGCTGTGTCCTTGCCTGAACTCTGCTTTTATTTCAGATGTTACGGGTGTATCCGATCATTTAAATTCCGTGCAAGCTGTGAACTGTGTATTGATCTTCTCATTTATTTGCCTTAAAATCTCAACGAGGCTCCATGAATCATTTATCCAGGTGAGTCAATAAATATTTATTGAA